CCCAGAAAGCCAAACCCTATCCTGGGGTGCATCAAGAGGAGCATGACCAGCAGGTTGAAGGAGGTAATCCTGCCCCCTTAATTCTGCTCTCGTGAGACCTCACTTGGAGTATTGTGTGCAGTTCTGGTGTCCTCAACATAAAAAGGCTCTTTCACGGATACCCCCTTCTCATAGTGAAAGAGCTTGTGTGCCCTTGTGAGATTGAGAGGTATGCTGGTGGTGGCACAGGCCTCCGTTAGGGTCTCCCATGTCAGGCAGGTCTCAACTGAAGGGGCAGACAAATTTTGTCCATGGGCAGGATGGACTCACTAGCCTTTGGGCAACCGTCCTAGGAGAAGGACAACTCTAACTTCAAACCTGGGCAGATGGAGCTCGTTTAGCCTTGTAAGGCCATCCATCTAAGAGAAGGATACTCTAACCAAACCTATGACCTGAGGACTTTGCTGTCGCTGTCCAACCTCACTAGGCCCTGGGAGATAAACCTCAGGTGCAAAGGTTGGGGCCAGTTCCATGCATGCTGTGACTCACCTAAAAAAATCCACTGAGCAGGCTGGAAGGGTTTACTCACACTTGTAGTAAGTGTGGGTAAAACCATTCACAAATTTTTGTTTGCAAAGTGAAGCCATCAATCAATCAACATAAAAAGGATATGGAACTGTTGGAACAAGTCCAGAGGAGGGCCACAAGGATGATCAGGGGAGTGGAGCACCTCCCATATGAAGACAGGCTGAGAAAGTTGGGGCTGTTCAGCCTGGAGAAGAGAAGGCTGTGTGGAGACCTCATGGTGTCTTTCAGATACCTTCCAGTATCTGAGGGGGCCCTAAAATGATGCTGGGGAGGGACTCTTCCTTAGGGACTGTAGTGATAGGACAAGGGGTAACGGGTTAAAACTTAAACAGGGGAAGTTTAGATTGGCTATAAGGAGGAAGTTCTTTACTGTATGGGTGGTGAGGCACTAGAATGGGTTGTCCAGGGAAGTTGTGAATGCTCCATCCCTGGCGGTGTTCAAGGCCAGGTTGGACAGAGTCTTGGGTGACATGGTTTAGTGGGAGGTGTCCCTACCCATGGCAGGATGGGGTTGGAACCAGATGATCTTAAGGTCCTTTCTTAGTATTCTATGATTCTATAAACTGAACTAGATTTGATGTAAACCATACTAAGTATACTGCAGTCTAACAGACAACTCTAGATGTATAATATGTTTCTAACTGAAAAATGGTCAAAAATATTCAGCAAATGATGATGATGCTAAAATGCCACATTGTAATACTCTCTGTATTTTTAAAATAGAGCCAGCAAAAAGATGTCCTTCAGTAATATATCAGACTGTTCAACCTTAAGATAGATGGTCGTGAAAGTTTGAGCTTATTTACACCACCAGAAAATTAATGCTGAAAATATGAAATAATCTTGAATATGATGGAGAAAAAAAGTAAATGAGATCAGGGGGGCCATCCAGACTGGCTGACAGCAGTTTAGCACATCAGAACAGCAAGAGCAGTTGAACTCTCAGATGCTCTACACAGAATATACAATACTATGTATTAAAAAAGAAATATCATTCTGTGATTGATTTTGTTAATGAAAGTATGCTAAGTCTGCTGTAGTCAACTACAAGAATCTCAAAGGTGAAAAAGCTATCTTTCTATCAGGGAAAAGAAGGATGGAAGAAAGCCAAGTGTGCATTACCTGTGAGTGGACAGACAGCAAAATAATCATACAGGCTTCACTTTCCTTTCACAAGCCATAACATTTTGCATAGATACAAGCCAATGTCAAAAGCCAGAGGGATGTAGATAATTTTTATAGAAAGAATGATACAGAACCCTCTGAATTTAATTCAGGTAGGGAACAGGGACAAGATCTTTCATACAGTTCATCTAGCTGAAGAAAAGGCACACAACTGTGTATGTGACACTCTAGAAGATAGTTCCAATACTTCAACAACATTAAAAAGTAACCTGGCTGTTCTAGTGCCAGTGCATCTTCTTGTGACCAACTGAGGTAAGTCAGAGAGTAAGATACAATGAAGCATTGAAACAAAACAAAGTTATGACAAAGAACATGAGGGAGATAAAAAACTACAAGGATGACACATAGACTCATGGACTCATTTAATACTTAAAAAGCAGCCACACTGTCTACAATGTATGCAAATAGGCTTTAAGTGAATATTCAGAGAATAGCAACATTAGCATATTGGTCAGCAGGATCCATGATACATTCAGGGGAATTGTCATGGACTCATTAAATTTAATTTAGGCTGATGGCTGAAATGTGAAAGGGAACAGAGATGTGTAGATATGGTTGAAAGGAGGATTGTTATCTAGACTGATGTCATCATTTATACTTGTAATAGCTTATAGGTTTTATTTTGTGGAAAACAGACACTTGATTTTAGAGAGCAATTACTGAAGACAAATGTTGGAACTTATGTTTATATGAACATTGGGAAATGTAAAAGAAAGGATACAAGTGGGATAATAGTAAAAATATGTACATGCATTTCAGAGAAGGAGAGAATAGGGTAAGAGCAGTCTGGTATCCCTTAGGCAAAATAAACAGCTTTAGTAAGAACATGGGAAACACCTCATCCACAGTTAGTCTCAAGGCGGTATTCCTTTAATGCTCATGTAGATGTGCTTGTTGGTTTACCAAAATAAACAAGAAGTATTTAGTAGCACTAAAGTATCATGGGATAGTGATAGGCTTTATGGAACAATTTCATCTTCCTTTAGACTGTTTATGACAAAAAGGAAAAAAACCCAACACCAGTAATAAAGGAGTGCTGTGTATATTAAATATACATGGGGAAGCAAGACACATCACAAAAGAGCACTTCTCTCCAAGACTGAAACTGAAAGCATTAAAATCCCCAGTCCTCACAAGAAAAAAATATATCTGTGATGGGTTGACCCTGGGCCAGCAGCTAACCATCCACACTGCCCCTCACATCCCTACACCTCTCCAGTGGGACAGCAGAGACAATAAGAAAAACAAGTAAATTTGTGGGTTGAAATAAAAGTACTTCAGTAAGCAAAGTGAAGAGGAGAAAAAAGCCCAAACCAGACAAACCCACAACAAAACAAGTGATGCAAAGGCAACCAATCACCATCTCTCACAAGCAGAATGATGCCCAGTCAGTCTCCAAGCAATGGCTAGCTCACTCGTAGCCCCTCTTCTCAGTTTTTCTTCCTGAGCATGATGTTACAAGGCATAGAATATCCGTTTGGTCAGTTTGGGCCAGTGGCTCAGCTTCTGCCCCCTCCCAGCTTCTTGCTCAGCCCAGCCTACTCCTTGAGTGGAAGCAGAGCAGGAAAAGCAGAAAGTCTTGATATTTCAAAAGCACTGCTCAGCAACAACCAAAATACTGGTATGATATTAATATTGTTTAGTCAGAACCCAAAATACAGCACCATATGGGCTGCTATGAATAAAACTAAATCCGTCTCAGCCAGACACAGTGTGATACCAGGTGTTTTACTTCCAAGAATTCTCAAAAAGCACATGCTATTTTTGGAAACTGGAATCCCTTGGGGTTGCTCCATCTAATGTGTACAGTGCACAGAATAGGAGTGAAACTGCTTCAAACTATCAAGGTGATAACTGAACTCAGAGATTTAAATTTCTATCTTCCTCCTAGTATCCTTTAAGAGCAGTGATAAGTTGATGATGAGCTGATGTCTAAATGTGGATGCAGAGATTTGTTCTCTTAATTCCAGAAGAAATTCTGAGCCTTGGATGATTGGAGGCCTGTGATAGACTGTAAAGGGTCAGACCACATGAATTAGTCTGTTGAAGTAGGAAGGAAGTGGTGGAGAAAGTGATGAGAGACTAAATAAAATGGAATTAAGAGTTCAGACTGCAGAAGAGGCTAAAACTTTTCTGGACAATTTATTATTATTCACCTGTGATGCTTTAACACAAAGTTTAGGAGAGGAGCTGCCAAATGATTTGGGAGACTAATTTCTCCAAGTTAAAGCAGTGTAACTGTCCTACTACAAAATTTTTTTTTAGGTAATTTTCAGGAAACAGGTAACAAATCTGACATAGGTCAAGAAAGGTATACACATGAATTTCTGCTACCTCCTGGTAGCATATAACCTATATAGGTGATGCCTAAATACAGCTTCCAGTTCTCGCATTAAAAAGAATTAGAAGCAAAAAACATAGAGCAACCCATAAAGAAAATGGACAATATTAACAGTGAATAAACTTTGATCCTCATATATACGGAGAACTATGGACTACTTGGGCCACAACTACTGGTAGATTGGAAGTACTCCTACCATAACAGAATATTTTGCAGAAAAAAGCTGATGCATGCTGTGATGTGTTAAACCTTTCTCAAGCACATTATTTATTGAAGCTTTATTAAACTTCACTTTTGCTTTCATGTTTCCTGAAGTTCAGGAAAATCACCTCTGCCATCCTATTCCAAGGCTACTTTATGAACCATTATATAGGTCTAGATCTCTGAGCAGCAAAAAGATTCTACAATTAAAAATACAATATTTTGTACCATGCAGTTTGCCAAAAACTCTTGTCAATATGGATTTCTATATGACAGTGATATACAGCATAGTCATGATGATTGTGTAAAAATTATCATTTGTAAAGAAAAAGAAGAATTAATTGACAATATTAGAAATTGGGAATAGAAGTATTCTATTAAAAGTTATGGAATGAAATGTAGTAGCTTAAAAATTAATTCAGTTAACACCAAGCTTAATCTCTGTACTAGCTCCTGATGCTAGCTGAATTCCCAAAATACAACAGATTGTAGAAACATACTTGTAGAGCTAAGTATATTGTCCTCTTTTACTGTATCTTTGGTAGCCACCATGCATCCCATTAATCTCAAGAGAAGATGGACTGCATACTTTTTAATAAGATGACATTCATATCTCCACACAAAGAATTCTTACAGAGCTAATACTCTCCAGCAAAATATTAGATACAGTTAGCTAACTCAGTGTTTCCCTTTTTGGATTACAAACCTTAATTTATCTGTTCCAGCTTTGTACCTTGAGATTCGAGCCATTGACAGAGGAACTGATAAGGTGTCTAGCCAGCGCTTCTCATATTTTGGTTCATTAGCTATGGGTGAAGAAGGTGATGATGGAGCCTGTGCAAAATAAATGAGAATCAGTAAGTGCAATTTATCAGATGACATAGCGAAAAAAAACACTAATATGCATCTCTAGCTCTGCCTGTCTCCGAAGTGAGTAATCATGGCAATAAAATTATTCAAGAATCTCAGAATTTAGTAGAGAATTAAAAGGAAGCATTCATGTAGAAAGGAATGCTACCTATATTGATATTATACTTGTGACTTAATTTCATTATTGCCTTAATATTAAATATATGCATATTTTTAATACTTATAATTGACAATAAAAAGGAAATAGTTTTTAGTCATAAGCATCCTTAATTTTGTCTAAATGTAACATAAAATGCATTTTTGGTTTAAATTAATTTGGTCTTTGCAACTTTTCTACATCATCAGAGAAAAAGACACGAATAATATCCTAATGTAAAGACTACATTAGAGAATATTGGTTTCTTATTTGTGCATTGTGACTTTTATCCATAATGTTATTTAATAGTAGATTTCTGTGTTATCTCTATCCATATACAGACTGATGAATTTTGAAATATCATCTATCTTTGAAGTTTTCCTTCAAATGCTTCTATTAGAAAGGAAAGATTGTAGATACTGTCTAAGCAGTAAAGGCTGCCCAAATCTCAGAATAGTGAAAATATAAAATTTTACAATCATCTACTCATTTCATGTAACTATGGCATAGAAAAGAAAACTTTAAAGCAGATGTCTGCAAATGCAAATTAAGTTAGGGGAATTAGCCTGGATATATAGCTATTGATGAATAGCCTAAACCAGAGCTTATCTACAAACTGTTCAGCCTGCTCATATATGTAGCATTCTTTTGTATTGCAACTAAATAGTGCATAAAAGCACAAAGAATGAAACATTATAAAAGGAAATATTTATGAAATATTACAAGTTGCCATAAAGTTGCACTAAAACATTCAGGAAACTGCAGAGATAGGTATCTTAATCGATATAAACTTGCAGATCATGTAGTTTGTTCCTTGTGAAATAATATCCAGAGGTTTCCATCACTGTATCCATGACTGGAAATAAAGAACTATGCCCAATTTGTCAAAAAAGATTGTTAACTATTTGTTTTCACAGGCAAAAATTAGAAAATGCTGGAAACCACTGCTTAGTGTACCACCTGAGATTTATGAGCATGATTACGAGCTTAAAAAAATGCTTATTAAACAACAGAATAAACGGGGAGTTTCTTACAGAAAGCATAAAAATCATAAATTGAAAAGTATTGGCATTTATATCTCCTCATTAACATGACAGCTGAGCATTTCACTTTAATAAAGCTAGTAATACTATTTACAGAGAGGCAGCCGAGAAGGATTCACAGCCATAGATAGTTAGGTCAAAGTTTGGCATTTGTGCTGTCTCTGAATCAAAATTATTTGTCCCATATTGTACAGAGCACTTTCTGTTAGAGAAGGGAGTTGAAAGTCAGTTATTTTATACAAGCACTGAGTAGTACTTACAAAAGCAAATAAACCACGGAATGACCTCTGTTATGCCCAGGTGTTTAAAATGCCATTTAACTTACTTAAAATAAAGAACATGCTGGGAATGGTTCTATTTCTATTTCTTTTTCTTGTTCATAAGGATTTAGGGTTCATTTCCCCCTCCCCCTCCGCCTAAATCTCCTTCTTACAGTCAGCAAGGGCTGAACTTTCTATTTACTTCGTTAAATAAATAATAGTGAGTTTCACATTCTAACAGGATGACCGAGAACTGGTGATCGAGGGACACTTTCCAGCTAAATGAAAAATTTGTAATGAAATTGGCAGTGTTGGTAACACTAAAGAATCTTTTAGACTGCCATCTGTTTGGGGAAAGGAATTTAATTTAGAGTATTTGCAATCCCTAGAACAATCCAGCTTTCATTTCACCGAGATCTTCTGGTGGTATTGTGGTATGAATGTTTCATCATCAAGTCCATAGACTAATGCTATTACATACAATTAGCCACAAAAAGCTAAGTTGACATAAAAACCTTATACTAAGCTCCAAAGTTTAGTATAAATTTAATAATAATATCATAGTGAAAAATCCAATACATATTTTAGAATGCTGTAAAAATTAAAATAATTGACAGAACCGCATGCAATCTGAAGTTTAAAATGATCACCATAATCTAATATGCCTGTCTAGAAACTGAAATGTCTAAGAATAAAGCAGAAGGTAGCTTATTACAGTCAAACATAAATGCTTGAATATGATCACTGAATTTAAAACCAAAGATCAGAAAATAAACAAACATAAATTTCTGCAACACCTTTGTTTAGCTGTTAATTTCTTTACCTCTTGTTCCTATTCTTTCAATTCTTAAGGTATAGAAAACATCTAGACAATTTAAACATTTAAAAATCTGTCTTTTTCTTGTGAACTATTAGCTGTACTTCTTTTAGCAAGCTGTTGAACAATATTCTGTAATAATCTAGGTGATTTAAGAGGACTTGGCAGCAAAAAAATTTATGAGTGAGTCACTGGCAATTTCATGTTTCCATTTGGTCCCTTACACTCCAGTCAAATGCTTTAGTAAGATACCAGTGCAAAACAAAATATATCTCAATGTAGGTAATGATGATAAGATCCCCTCTCAGTCATCTTTTCTCCAGGCTAAACAGGCCCAGATCTCAGCCTTTCCTCATAAGAGAAGAGAGATGTTCCAGTCCCCTAATCATCTTCATAACCCTCCGCTGGACCCTATCCAGCAGTTCCTTGTCATTCTTGAACTGGGGAACTGAGAACTCAACACAATATCCCAGAAGCAGCCTCACCAGGGCAGAGTAGAGGGGGACAACCACCTCTCTCAACCTGCTGATCATACCCTTCCTAATGCACTCCAGGATACCATCAGCATTCTTGTCACAAGGGCGCATTGCTTGCTCATAGGCAATTTGTTGTCCACCAGGACCCCCAGGTCCTCCTCTGCTGAGCTGCTTTTCAGCATTTCAACCCCTAACCTGTACTGGTGAATGCAGTTGTTCCTCCCTCAGTGCAGGACCCTACACTCAGCTTTGTTGAACTTCATTAGATTCCTCTCCAGCTCTCTATACTATGTCTCACTGAATGGCAGCACAGCCTTCTGGTTCATCAGCCACTCCTCCAAATTTTGTATCATCATCAGACTTGCTGAGGATACACGCTGTCCCTTCATCCAGGTCACTGAGAATTTGACAAGACAGGATTCTGTAGTGACCGCGGGGGAACACCTCTAGTCACAGGTGTCCTACTAGACTGTGCCACTGATCACAACCCTCTGACCTTGGCTGTTCAGCCAGTTCTCAGTCCACCCCACTGTCCACTCATCTAACTGAAACTTCCTGAGCTTACCTATGAGGATGTTATCAGAGACAGTGTCAAAAGCCATCTGGACAAGATGGTGAACACCAGACTGAGCAAGTTTATTAGACACAATAAGTAATAAAAAACAATAAAAAGAAAAACAAACTGCAAATATCTGCAGAAGCAGCTCATGATACTGAATAACTGAGAGATAAAATGACTTCTGAAAATACAGTAAATACACGAAGAAAGACAATATTAACTTCCCCCATACTGTAATAGGATGTGAACAGATGATTAACACTCAAAAATAAGATCCTGCTGTTGTGGGAAAAGCAGATGTTGAAAGGAATGGAATCATTTTCACACAAATAATTAAGTAAACAAAGATTCATTAATCTGGAAAAGAAGCATCTGAAGGAATTGTGACAAAGGTATATAACAAATAACAAAGAAAGGGATTAGGGAACAGTGGTTCACTTGCCCTTTTCATATAAGCAGAAGGGGTATCAATTAGAAGTAAAAACAGTCGGATAAAAACAAAGATTGTTTTTCCTCTATATAACAAACTGGCTCAGGAAGTCCCTCTGGCAGAAGTAATTGGAGGTGCAGGAAATAAACCCTGTAAGTAATTGTACATATTTCCTCTTGTTTTGTATTCTCTGGAGGGCATCAGCTGGGAACAAGCTATTTGGCCAGATGGTCCTTTGGTCTGACCCAGTGTACTGAGTTGGCTGACCTTCAAGCCTTCTGTCTACTAAGCAGCTGCTGCTGCTCATGTTGAAAACTCTCAACAGTGTTTCTCCAAAGCACTAAAAAAGTTGACTGTTTAGAGATCATCTCTGCAGTCACAGCTTTTATCCTCTGGTTCATTTCACACCTTTGGCATTCCGCTGAGACTGCCAAAAATGTTGCCGATTAATGCCAATTTATTTGTCACACCTGTCCATTAAGAAATGGATTGAACACAAAAATCTCATTTCTGACAGAACACTGAACAAGAATCAGGTTGTAATAACACATAATCACTACCCACCTGGGACAGCTGTGATCTAGAGCAGGGTCTGATTCTCTCTCCCATTAGCAATTGTTGACATATGAAGGACAATGTAGGCAAGTGCTTTGTTGCTTTGTAAAACTACTATATAACAACTCATTATGGGGCAACCAAGAAGTCTTCACAGAAGTAAAATGAGACCAGAAAGTCCTTCGCTAAGTGAGACATAATGAGACACATCTCTAAGTTTTCCCTAAGAACATAAGAAGGATGGTGAAAGAGCACAGCTAGCTGGGACTGTCAATATTTGCAACTTTTTGTACAATTTGCAGGGCTTGGGAACTTATTTCACCTTATTTTTTTTTTTTTTAACTGCCATTGATTCTAGATTTCAGCAAGAAAAATATCATGTCCTCAGAAAGAACAGTTTCTGAATCCTCCCTAGTAATGTGATTTGCAATTTCTGCTAGGCTGCACCTTGAAAGCTTCCAAAGTGATATTTTAGGCTGACATATTGCTCTTTTCTTAAACATGGGCTTCAGGGAGGTTGAAACTGGGTTGATTCACTTTTGGAGTCATAAATACGCAGGGTGATGTTGCTTAGTATGATTAAGCTTGCTTTTAAATATACTTTTCTGCTTTGCAGAAAGGCAAGTTTTGCATAATCTTCATAGCAGATGCAGATGAAGGACTATACCTGCAGCAGCAATATATCATT